ATGCATCCTGTAGCTTTGTTTGGCCCACACCGATATTTTCTTTTCATTGGCTTAGTTGCCAACATTTAAAAATCAGGAAATGTCATGTAAAATTCCAGATTTCTGACTTCTCCTGAAAACAGAAGACCTGACAGCACCAGGTCCAACTTCCCACGCGTCAACAATCAGGTGAAGTCAACTAGTGGCTCCTCCCCGCCCCTCTGCCCTGCTCGCTTTGGATAGAGCACGAACTCACACCAGGCACAGTCTGCACACAGCCGCTCCGCTCACTGTCTGCCGCCGCCCCTGAAGACATCACCACCCTTGGGCTCTGCCCGCTGAGGTTGATCAGTAAGGGTGAAAAGACAGCCATATGTGGGACATTAAAGGATAAGGCCCCCCCATTGGGCTTAGGAGTTTCCAGAGTATGATAGTCAGGGAAAGGCATGTATAGAGAATTCTGGAAAACTACCCTCCTCACTCTATTGTTACTTTCCCCCATGGAGGATTTGCCTGTGTCTGTAAAACTAAAACCAAGTTCTTCTTTTCTTCTTCAGCCTCCAGAGGCACAAGTTCATCCTTCCTAACAGGCAGAGAAGAGGGTTCTGGCACCCAAAGCCTCCAAAGCCCAAAACGAAGGCAGGAGCCAAGGCCAGGCCTTTCCATCCTCCCACACTGTGGTGTAAACATAATCCAGGGGGATGGAATTAATTTGCCCAATGTACAATGAAGAAAGTGAAGCCCAGAGAGACGAAATGAGTTATCCAAGATCACATGGCTTAGAAGTGGCCCATCTGGGACTCACACCCAGACGATCTGATTTCAAGCCCACTGCTCTTGCCACCACCTTGAGACATCTGGGGCTTAGCCAGGCTGGGGAGGGGCTCAGCCTAGCACGCATCAGATGGCTCCTCAGCCTCCAAGTGGTGTAGGAGCATCTCCTGCCACTAACATGGCATCTCCTGCCACTAACATGGCATCTCCTGCCACTAACATGGCATCTCCTGGCTAACACAGGGCAACAGGGATGAGGGCTTTGGTTCTAAGGACAAAGAGCAGTTGGGAATGGGAGGATGACCCAGCCCCCTCCCCGGTGGCTCAGTTCATGATGGGGCCAGCCAAGCTGTTCAACCCCAGGCCAGACTGTCTCTAGGCAGGAAGAGTTTGGCCTGTAGATCCCTCTGCACGGGGCCGTCAGAGCAGGAGAGTGGGAAAGAGATGGAGTACTTGTTCAGGGGCATCTCTCTCCTCAGAGAAGGAGGCCCAGGGACGGAGGAGGGGTAAGGTCTTGAGGAGACATCCTTGCTCCCTCTTTCTCTCACCCTCCACAGCTCCATCCATCTGCAAGCCTGATGACACTTCCTCCAAATCAATCCTGAGCCCACCACACCCCTTCCCGGCCACTTCTACCTCCCTTGTCCTCGCCACGTGGTTGCAATGGGCCCCAGCTCCCACCTCCTCCGTGACCTCGTGCAACCCACTCTAGTTGCCGCAGCTAGAGCAAGCTCTCCAAACTGCAGTCAGAACTCATCTCATCTCCTCATCACCCTCGGAATAGAAATCTAAACTCTGTACCATGGCTTACAAGGTCCAGCGTGCCGTGGCCTTTACCAGCCTCTTGAAAAGCATTTCCCACTGGTCCTCCCCAGGCACACGACACTCTAGCTAACAACGGCCTTTTTCCATTCCTCGAACCCAGCCAAGCTCGTTCCCCCTCCATCCAGGTCACCTCACTAGTCGCGCTGTCTGCCTAGAACATTCACACATCTCCACATGGCTGCCCCTTTGTGTCATCGGGTCTCAGCTCAAATGGCACCTCCTCAGAGAGCCCTTCCTGATCCCCCATCTACAGTTCACCTTTGGTCATTTTCATTCGCATCATCCGATTTTATTTCCTTCACAGGACTAACGCTATCTGAGATTATCTTATTTAAGTATTTGTTTCTTGTCTAATTGAAGGTCTCGCCCCACTAAGAATCTGAGTTCTTGAGAGCAGAGCCAGTGTCTGTCTTGTTCAATACTGTTTCTTCCAGTGAGTGGCACATAGTAATATGTAATAAATAGTTGTTAAGTTGATTAGCTAATTAATTGACCAGGTGAGAGATGATGGGGCATAATCTAAAGCAATTGCATTAGAGCGAAGTGGAGACAGTACACGTGAGAGGTATTTTAGAACTAGAATCAATAGGGCCAGCTCTAAAGAGATAAGATGGCAGAGGCTTTGGGTTTGCACAGCGTGGGTGGCGAAATCATTCGTCAGTATTGGTAATTTATGGGGAGGGGATGATGATGAGTTCGATGTCAGAAAGTTGATTTTGAAGTACCTGAGGGACTTCCAGGTGATGTCCAGTTGTGTGTTTTGAAGTTTAGCAAACAGATTTGGGCTGCTGGTTGAAATTTGGGGAAATCATGGAGGAATAAGTGGTAGGTAATGGGAATCATGTCTTGACCCTGAGTGCAATAAGAGGAGGACCTAGGATGCAACCCCAGGCGACCCAAAATCTAGCAGGACAGACAATGCAGGACAGAAAGGGATCCTGAGAAGGCATGTCTTGAGACGTAGAAGAGATGGGAGGGCGTGGCTAGAGAGAAAACTTTTCCAGGAGAAGGGGGTGGTCAAAAGTTCAGAATAGAGCTTGGAGGTACAGGCTGGAAAGTCAGTGCCCATTAGGGGCCTCCTTAGAGCAGTCTCAGCAGGGCGGGGAGGACCTCTGGATGGACACCAGATCAGAGTGAATGAGAGGGAAAGCCATGGACACAATGATGGAGTGGAAACTTAGTCAATCAAAGATAAGGTAATGGCCAGGAAGGACAAGGGGCCAAAAAATGATTTTTTTTAAGTTGGAAAGGACTGGCATACACATAGCTGAAACCTTTGATTATGTGTTAGTCTGTAACATGGTTTAAGTTTTTTCCCAAAGGGCTGCTAATGACCATACAGATCACTAAATGAATTTGTTCGGGCACTCAGCAATGCTATGGTATGAATGAATGTTGAAACTGCCCAAAAAAAGAAACCCCTGAGCCAGGTACCAAATTCCTCCACCAACATGAAAGAGTAAAAGAAGAAATGACTGTGAGAAAGAGGCGTAATGAGCGACGTAGCAGATAATATGCCCCTCAAAGTCCTGGTGGGGTGGGCGATGCAGGGCTCTGCTTCAGTGGTCTCTGAACCCCCCGCATGGCTCTGCTAAAGAGAAGCTGAGCAAATCCACGTCCTAACAGAAAGACATGGCCCTGAAATCGTCATCTGGATTCTACTTCCAGCTTTACGACCAACTATGTGACTGCTCTTTGGGCCTCAGTTTGCCCACCTGTACTTTGGGGACATTGACCTAGACCTTCTCTAAGAACCCACCACCTCTGATACTGTCTTGGAAGCCAGTCTGCCTGGATTTATACCCCAGCTCTGCTATTTTCTACCTGTGTGACCTTGGCTGAGTCACTTAACTTTTCTGTACCTCAGTGTCCTCATTTTTAAAGCAGGACTAATAATCTCTCTACCTCATTGTGAGGACTAATGAAGATGAATATATATAACACCCTTACGATAGTGCCAGGTACCTAGCGAGCACCATATAGGCTTTGGCGAATGTTATTATTGTAGTAGCCACTTGGTCCAGGGAGCCCCCAAAGTGAGTGGCTGGAGCATGCTGGCCTCATTTAAAAGAGCAAGAGAGAAGAGACTCTAGAACAGAGGTCAGCAAACTGTTTCCACAAAGGACCACATAATGGATATTTTAGGCTTTGTAGGTCATATGGTTTCTGTTGTAACTGTTCGACTCTGCCATGGTAGTGGAAAGCAGCTACAGACAACATGTAAACAAATGGGTGTGACTGTTTTCCAATAAAACTTTATTCACAAAAATAGGCCATGGGCTGGATTCAGCCCACAGGCTATGGTCTGCCGGCCCCTGTTCTAGAACAAAAGTCCCTGGAAAGAGGGATAGTGAGTTTTCCTCCCTGGTGGGCAGAACTAAGAGATCTCATGCAGCCAGATCCCAGACAGAGGTCTGATCACTCTGGCTGCAAGCTCACTGAATAAAGAAAGCTCCCAACTCACAGAACAAGCAAATAATAAACGAGTTTTAAAAATAATTAAAATTGAAAATTGATTGTCTGGGCCAGAGCAGATTTATGTAAAGGGTCCCTGCTCCACTGGGAGTGGAAGGAGGGTTTCTAAGCTCTGTGTTGAACAAGCTAAGCATTTTTTCAGATTATTCCCAGCATAATATGCCAAAGGGAATAGGCTCCATTTATTATTTCCTTAAAAAAATCAATGGGCTGAAACATTCCCTCTAGACCTATAATATTTATTTCAATGTTCTGTCAATAAATATAACAAGGTTAGCTTTCTATCAGTTTAGTTGGAAGAATCATTTGAGGGAAGTTCTATTTGTTAAGCTCGATTACAGAAAGCAATCAATAGGGAAAATTCCCCGGTCACTACAGGCAAGAAAGATGGAGCTCAGAGGAGCCATCCAGGAAGGAGATTGATGCCACTGCCCCATAACCCCTCCCTCCTTCCCCCAAAGGTGGGAGACGTGGGTGCAACCTTGAGTTACAGTGTGTCAGGCTGGAGTAGTCCCCATCTGGTGCTGACAGGGAAACTCAGGGCCAGAGAGAGAAAAGGAATTATTCGGAGTCACAGAGTGGCAGAATCAGAACTAAAATCCAGATATCCTGATCTCAGGTTTCTCCCGGGTCTGGAGCTACCCAGTTGACTCAGGTTGGACAATGAAATACAGAGGCCCATGGAAAAGGAATGTCTTTCTCTTTCATTTGAATTCAGCTTTGTTGGATAGGGCTTTCCAAAAGATGTATCTGGGTAGGATGGCTGCAGAAGGGTGTTGAAAGGACAGGGTAAAAATATGCCTTCTGGGAGGTGGGGGCGCCTGGGTGCTTGGAGATTTAGAGGAGATGTCTCACCATTTTATCCTCCGATACAAACCCACACAGGCACATGTTTCCCCCTGGCTGAGCTGGCAGGTGTGTCCTCTCTCCTAGAACTTGAGTCTCACCTTTCAGCATTGCTGCTGGACTTGGCTGGATCTACTCGTCTGTACCTACACCTTCCGTGACATGAGCCAAGGGAAACATGGGTTTGACCAGCTGGCTCAGCTCCACCATGTTCTTGGCTGGGTGAAGTCATTTCCACTTCTCCAAGTTTCTCCTTCCCATCTATAAAGTGGGAAGAATAATAATGACACCTCACTCGTAGGTTAGAAGGAGTATTGCTGGAAAGTTAAAAATAATGATTAGTATTATTGATCATTGACTTATTATCATTAATAGTATTTATTGAATGTTTTCTGTATGCCAAACATTGAACTAAGTATGTTATATTCTTTATCACATTTAATCCTCACAACAATACTGTGAGATAGATAATAAAAATATCTTCATTTTACAAAAATGGAAAATAAGGCTTAGAGGTTAAATAACTTACCCAAGGTCCCAAAGCGAGAAAATGTGAGGATTTGAACTCATGTTATCCAACTCCAAAGCCTGTACTTAGAAGCTCTACCATCAGAAAGATTATAGTAGTGTCCTGATATGGAAGGAGTTGCCTTTCCCCTCCACACCCGTCCCCCAATCCACTTCACTCAGAAAAGCTGGGTCCCAGGACACTTGGGGGTCTTCACCTCCCACCTCTGAGTCCTCATGGCCTTGAGTATGCAAGGGAGGCTTCAATGAGTCAAGTGCATTATGGGGCCCATCCAAGGACATATCTCCCTCACCTAGAGACTAAATTATCCCAAATAGAAAGTAGCCACAACTCTCCTGGGCTGTCACTAAAGTTGGTTATTGCTAGGGGGAATTTGGGAGCATTTAACAAATGTGGGTGAACAATTATTTCTTGAATTTCTACTATGCCAAGCATTATTTTGAGCACCATAAATATAAATATATTCAATAGCCTGCAGAACACTACTCCCTGGATGTTTCTCAATGTATCTAAAACTGAATTCAGTATCCCACCATCCAGTCCCCTAAGCCAGTGGAGAATCATCAGGCTCTGCCCTACCTCTCACATTGTCCAGTACACATTTACCAGGTCCCTACTGGGTCCCAGGTGATCCATCGCCAGGCCCTGGTCATTCTGGGGTCCCTGTCGCCATCTCTAGAAATTACCTTTTGCAGGCCTGGGGAAATTCAGGCTCTGGGAAGAGTGTCTGGGCAGCCAAAATCATCTGGGTCCATGAAATAATAAACACCATAATCCAAGTGCATCAGGCTTGCCTGGCCCCTGAGCACCAACACGGTCACATTACTCTGATAACTCGGAGCCCCAGCTGACACACAGCAGGAAATCCAGTCTTCTGAAGAGTCATCTTCAACTCCACTTCCTTGCACCTCCCCTACCAATTATCTCCGTGAATCTTAAGGGTTGCCACTGTGTGTCCACAATTCTCTCCTGACCCCTGCTCATTGAGGTGATAACCAGCTAAACACCACAGCCTTGGGGCCCAAGAGTTTGCAAAAGCACCACTCAGAGTGGCTCCACCAGATGGAACGCAGAGTCTCTGTTCTCCCCAAGAAAGAACAGTCTCTTTCTGTTAGGCTAAGCCAGAGGCCCCACCACAGTTCTTGAGCATCACGGCGCTTCAGTATTCAAGGATAATGCCCTTGGATTCACACAGACAACCCTTTCCTCCCAGAAAACAGCTTCATGGTAAGAGATCTAAGCAGGGCTTGTCCTAGAGCCACCGACCAGCCTCAGAGAAGACAAGGAGTGCACAGATGAACATGCATGCATGTGCCAAGACAAAGCTCTAAACAAATTGTTCTGAAACAGTTAAAGGGAACCCTTGTCCTACTGATTCTGTTCCCTAAATAACTTGAGTCCATCTACTTCTCTCTCCATCTCTACCACCACCATCTCTTTTCTGGGCTACTATCATTGCCTCCTAACTGGACTCCCCAAGTCCACTCCAGCCTCTCCAGTGTGCTCTCCACACAGCCACCAGATTATCTTCTTAAAATGCAAATCTGGTCATGTCCACCCTTGCTTAAACCCCTTCAATAAATTCCATTCCACTTAAGACAAAATGTAAAATCTTACTGCCTTACTGTGTTGTCTCTGGAGCAGAACCTGAGACGTGGGCTTGGATGAGGAGATAGTCCCCAAGAAGCACAGGTAAAGCAGGGAAGAGGGAAAGGTCATGGGGAAGGCAGAAAAGTTTTAGACAGATTCCTCATTGTCCCCATTACATAGCAGCAAACTTAGCTCCTCTCTTTGTGTGCTGGTCTACCAGCACAAGGAACCCAAAACAGCTTGGTGGGAATCTTTGTTTTAGGTTCAATGAAATCTTTACTCTTTCCCCTGGTGACAGTGACTCACTCCTTGGGACCAGGATCTCTACTCTTACAGAGCCTTAAGATTCTCAGACAGGAAGCACAGGTTCCCCCAAATTGTTCCTTGGAAGAGATGATGGGCCCAATCCCACCTTCACTTCTTGCTTCCTAGATCCACATATGCTAGCTATTGCGACACGACACCACTCAATGCCCGTTAGCATAACATCCATACCGCATCCTGGAAGACAGAATTTCAACTTTGCTGGCTGCCATTCCTCAAGCTGCCACTTAACCAAGGTTTTTTAAGGAAACGTTAAACAACATTCTAGCAAGCCAGCAGCTTCCAAGTGATTGATATGTACTAGGACCAGTGCATCCCAATGCCATGTGTCCGTTGTCATACTTCTCTGCTGTAAAGCAGGAATCTTGAGCTGAGCTGGTGCTCTGTGGGATTCCACATCACTAAACTAAACACTCTGTAAGCCCTTGGACACTGGTGCTGGCATAGGCACCACAGGCAGGGAAGACAAACCCATGTCCAGAGTGTTTGTCCATCTCAGCAAGGACAAATTGCTGCCCCTTCCAGAGGCAGTTGCCACCAAGTGGCTGATTATTCTCCACCAAGATCAGATTCATATGGGGGCTCAGTGGTGGTCCCTGCTGCTGACAGGCCACACACTTAGCAGCTGCACTTGCTAGACCCACCTTAGAAAGAGGGATCCCATGTTGTTGGGGCTGTGCAGAGCCTCCTCCTGGCCACAGTGCTACTCTTTACATGGGCTTGTTGTGCATGCCCAGGACACCTGAGGACAGAGGCTGCCTGACATCCAATGGACAAGTCTTCTTGTCCCCTACTTGTTTAATGTCTTTTCTCACTAGTGAGCATTAATGTGAGGTGGAAAAAGATGAAAATGTTGTGCCCTAGGGCCATCCATACCCCTTATCCCTAGACTCCTTGTCTCTGACATTCAGTCTTGCTCCTTCCAGGTCCCTGACAAATTAGCCAAGCGATTCATGTTAGTCTATGCATAACTCACTTCAGATAACTTCTCCCTCCATAAAAAGTTGGTGACCAAACTGTGCTGCTTAAAGCTCTATTTAGTGGAAGATTTCCTAACAACACTGTTCTTTGGGGTCACCAATACATTGAACTGGTCCATCCATAAATCAAATCAGGATTCTTCCTTCTCTGTCAGCTGGTCATAGGGATCTCAGAGCAAAGGGATAGATCTGAGCCGAGAGGAAGGTATCAGTTCGAAAGATTAATAACATGGGAGTCTAAGACACCTGTGCACATACTTGAGCCACTGAACCTCTTTGGATCTGACTCAAAAATACCATTTCCTCCATAAAATGGATTGCAGATGCATCTACACAACCTTATGACTCAGATATAATACTCTCTAGCTCATGGTGGGAAGCTCTGGCCATATAGTCATTTAATGGTCCATGGCCAGGTGTTCAGTCTCTTCTAAGGCTCACTAACACTCTGGGAACTGGTTTTCTAGAATTGAGTAGTTCTCTGCTACCACAGACATAGCCTTGCTCCATAACTCTAGGGGTTTTCCCTGCGACTCTCCTAATAGAACTTACCAGACTCTATTATAGATACTTCTAACACTATTGTATTTACCAGGTCATATGGCCTAAGAAGTAAGGAAGGTTACAGTGCAACTTGGGATTGCTACTGAACTCTCTTTTAATCTAGGACTCCTTCAAAATTGTCAACCTCCTGGGCTACTCAATAAATGGCTTAGAGCACTACTCCTAAGTGTAGTATTCACTGCCTCAAAACTTCAAAGAGGCTCACCAAGCACTATGCCTCTTTCTTAGTGGTAGGAGACTCAAGGAGCAATACCTCTAAAAGCGTCATCAATGTGTCAAGCCCTCAATCTTTGCAAGGTTTATCTCCCACGGCTGGACATGCATGTCTCTTACTAGAGCATCCAAGTACTTGCCACTTCCTGTTCAGTGAGTTCAACAAGAATGATACCAACAGTATAGGAGACCAGCGTGGTGGTTTCGGAATGTCAAGACAATCAAAGTCCCTTTAGACTATATTGTGACAGAGAGCAAGAAAATCAACACAGCCTTGAGGCAAGACAGTGAATATATATTGCTGTCCTTCCCATGTGAATACAAACTGCTTCTAATCCTTTTTTCTGATGTGAATTGAAAAGATCAAATACTGCATATCAAGTGCTGGAGGCTATGTTGATCTGTTCTAGTAAAGATACCATATCTATCACAGCAGCTACAATTGAGGCTACCACTTGTTTTGGCAGTCCACTGTCATTATCCTTGACCAACCTGGATTTTTCAGAGCTCTATCAATATATTGAATGGGAATGTGCTGGGAAAAACTAACCCCTAAGTCCTTTAAGCCTTTGATGGCAGCACTAATTGCTACAACGCCCCCTAGGATGTGGAATTGTTTTTTATTTAATATGTTGGCCAAAGAGTTAGCATTTTTAAAGCTCTGTTTGAGCTTCTTACCGTAATGGTAAAGGAGTCAATGTGAAGGCTTTGGCAACTGCTAAGTATATCCATTCATTCTAATTATGGGCTCAGAAACCAGGAAAATGAACAAAGAGTCAGTGTGTGGGTCGATTGGTCCCACTGTGAGACGGAGTTAAGTTAGGGCTCCTTTATCACTCAGTCTTAACATGCTGCAATTTTAATATGGGAGCCATGGTGGCATTCGGGTTCCCAGCTCAGACTCAAAAGATCTTATTGTTCCCTCTTTCCCTAATGTCCAGTTACTCTGATAAATGGCTATAGGTCCCTTTGGAGAAGGATTGGGGAAGCGCTCGTTGCACATACTTGAAGTGGCATTGCAGAGTCCTTCCTCAAGAGGCCTTGGCCTCCCCTTCCATCAATGGCTCCTGAGTCTGAAAATTTGTGGCTCAGATCTGAAAAATGAGTGAAGACTCATTATTTTCTATTATAGACGCTGCCATAATCTTGATTTTTTCTATTATAGACGCTGCCATAGCCTTGATCTTTTTTGCTCACCTGCTCTTGATGCTCTTTGGTTATATAAGTCAAGCAGGACCCTTGTTTGCTGCCATATGTCTAGAACATAGAAATGTGGTCCACTAGCCCTCACCACAGATTCTTTCGGGTCAAGACTTCTAGCTGCCACTTGGCTGTGCTACTTGATGTGATAAACAAGTCTACGTTTCCTCAGTCAGTTACCTGCTGGCACCTGGCCTCTGCTATTCCGAAGTCCTATCATTCCCATTGTCATCAGGGAGCCCAGTTCCACAGCAGCTCCTCTTACCATCAACCCTTGCCTACAGAAGATGGCCACTACTAAGCTCCTCAATGACGTCGTGTACCCCTGACTAGAGCATTCTTCATTGCTTTAGTGAAGGGGGTATCCTCTGGACCCTTCTAGAAAACACAGTCAGCTGGTGTCATAGTCTCATGCCCCAACTCTAAATCCTCCCATCCTTTCCTCAATACTCTACCAAGGCAATTCCAGCATCTCCATCTAATTTACTGCAGTCCAAGCTTCACGGAGACACCCAGCATATATTAGCACTGACTGCAAGTGTCCATGCTAGACATTAAATCCTGACTCCCTGGAAAGTATTCCTATATCAACAAACACTCCCTGATATAGACTTACAGGCCCACCCTCACCCCTACCCCAGCCCCAAAACTTCAGGATCCCACTCTACATGTATTCCCCTGGTTCCTGCAGGGCCATCACGGCAGTCTGTGCAGATTTTTTTGGTGAATGAGCTATTTCCTCCTGGAGCGGGATCTGAACTTCCCTGCCTGAGCTATGCTGAAACCTGACCCCAGTTATCTTTTCTTCTTCTATGGTGACTATGACAGTCACATGTTAAAAATCGAGGAGCCACACAATGGAAAGAGCCTGGGTCTCTAATTGCCACTTAGAAGAAAGTCACCATTTACTAGGACATCTATTTTGGAAGCAAGAAATAAACTCTTACTCTGTTAACAGTTTATCTGTTATAGCAGCTGCCCTTACAGCTAATACAATGCTCTAGTTACCGCTATGCCTCAAAATCCAGAACAAACTGATGCAAAGCTCCAGAAAGAGGAGGAAAATGTCCCCTAAGACTAAATTCTACCTCACATCTCCTTCTTTCCTCTCCACGATTAATCTCCTCCTAAGATGATTGAAATTGGGAATGTCAGTCCCTTCCAAGAAAAGTCTCATTCCCCACCCACAGAGGTGTGGTCAGACCTTAAAGCCCCAACAATGATTCGACATTAACACATTTCCCAAAGTCTGAGTTCTTCAGCCTTAATCCCACATACGGGTCCTCACTGGCCCTACAGGTTGGGCTAGGCTATGCTCAGCCCAGTTTCTTTCTATTCTCTCATCAACATTTCGAAAAGTCTCACTCATACTCACCTTATTCCAAAAAAATTAGTTTTGAATCAAAAGAGAAGGAAAAAGAAGAGAAAGATGAAAAAGAGTAGAAAGAGAAGAGAGGTAAGGGGACTGTTTGTAAATAAACACTGCTGTGCTATCTCTACCCAACAAATCATCCATGCTAGAGACCTCAGGAGACATCTCCTATTTGGTCCAAGTCCAGGCTAGGGAGCAGGATGGCATCGGGGAAAGAACTCTACACGTAGCATCTGGAAAACAGATCCTGGACCTGACTCAGACACTCACTGCCCTTGAGTTTTGTCTATTCTCTAGGTCTTGGGTTTTGCATCTGGAGGTAATACCTGTTTGCCAGGCCACAGAAGCTGGAGGTAGGAATGAGAGCAAATAATAGCACAAAGCAGACAGAAATGGATCTGCCGTCACTCACATCAGTGCCGCAGCCACTATCACTGCCACCGAACCCCTACCAGTAGCATTCAGTCATTCACGCAGCGCATACCTATTCGCCTGTGCTGGGAACACAAGAACAACAAGGAGTCACAGCCCCTGCTCTCCTAGAGCTTACATTCTAGTGGAAGAAACAAGTGCTCACCAGATCATCAAACAAATTGGCGTATAATTACAAACTGACATAAATATTCTGAAGCGAAGCAATGCATTCTATGAAGGCAGATAAGAATATGCTGGCTTAAATGCGTCTCTGAGGACATAACATTTGAACTGACATCTGAAGCACGCGTAGGAGTTAACCAGGCAAAGAGGAGAGGGTGGGGGAAGAACATTCTGAGCAGATGGCATAGCAGGTGCCAAGGCTCTGTGATGAGGGAGAGGGACAGGAACGTGCTGGTGAAAGTGAAAGGCCAAAGGGGAGACCACGGTGAAATGAAGCTAGAGGGGCAGACAAGGCCAGGTCCTGTGGTCTCTCCAACACGTTGAAGATGTCTGTCTTCTTGGTAAGAGCAATGGGAGGCCAGGGAAGAGATTTGGAAGGGGGAAGGAACATGACCAGACGGGTGTTTGGAAAGAATCCCTGTGGCTTCCGTGTGGACAGTGAATTGCAGGTAGCAAGAATAGAAGCAAAAAGATGAGTTAGAAGTCTTCACAGTAATCCAAGAGGTGGTGGGGGCATAGACTCTGAGTATAAAATCAACAGGGCTTGGGGGGTGGGTGGATAATGGGCTAAGAGCAGCTGCAGCTGACATCTTGTGCTCTCAGTGTCTCATAAAATTTGCAAGGTTCTTTTGGTTTCGAACAATGGAATCTCATCTTACGCAGGGGTTAGTTTGTGAAGTCTGTACATAAGACAGGAATTGCATGTAGTCAAAAGTACCCTTGAAAAATTCTTAAGCCACTCATACAGTACAGTATACATGGGTTTGTTTATACAGCCATGAACAGAAATTTTTAGGCACACTAAAGTTAGAGAGCCACTGAACTAGAATAAAGAAAGCAACAGAAGGAAAGCCCATATGCAAATGTCTGGGCATTCAAATCACTCTGCCTTTAAGACAACTATTCAAATCCCTAGCAGTGAATGAGGGGAGCTGGCAGGGAGGGGGAGGGGGAGGGAAGAGCTGTACATATAGGAGACAGAGGTAGGAATTTTTTAATGGCCCCACTCTCCCGAATATTTATTCCATTCAATGTTAATATTAAGCCCTTACAACTGTAACACACATTAATATATCAGGTGCTTATACTAACTAGTTGGTCTGTGTGTTGGATTCCCACCCCAACATCTCCAGCCTCTACTCCCCCTTCCCTGAAGGTGAGTTCTTTCCCCAGAGCCCCGTCCCCATCCCAGTCCAGACCTACCTGAATGCCAGAACGAGTTCAGCTTGGGTCAAGCCAGGACCCTCGTGTCAGGCAGAATAGCCTTGGTCATACTCCCATAACAGACAACCCCTTCTTCTTAGTGGCTTAAAGCAATAAATATTATCTCTTACTCGTGCTGCTTGGGCATGATGGGTTGGTTGGGGCTCTGCTCCATGAATCCTCATCCAACTGACGGAGCAGACACCATCTCAGCCCCTGCCAGTCACCCAGGCAGAGGAAAAGAGAGCTCTGGAGGGCCTCACACAGCAATTAAGTGCCCACACATGGCACAAGTCACTTCCATTCACTACTCATTGGCCAGAATTCATCACAAGGCTTCACCCAACCACAAGAGGGCCAAGAAGTGCAATCCTTCCATGTGTTCAGCAGGTGCATCGCCAGAAATATTTGACAAACAACACTAATGACTTCCACATGCTCTAAATGTACAATGACAAGAGAGAGAAGAGACAAGCTTTAATTATTAAGTCTGTGTTTGGATCTGGGGCCCTGTGTAACCATGTGGCTGGATAAAATGTGCCCCCACTCATGCCCCAGGGGGCAGAGTCTGTGCCCAGAAATAGACTTCCAGACAGCATTTGGATGTGCTATCATGAAAATTAAAGAGATGTCCCAATAGAGGCAGCTGACAGCCTGTGGCTTGGCTCCAATGCCTCTCTAGCCCTCCCCAGGCTCTATGGAGACCATCCACAGTACGAGGAATACTGGGGCTGGAGCTCACTGTCACCAAAAATCTCTGACAGCTCCTGGGAGTGCCTGGGTTAGGGACAACGGGTGTATAGATGAATCCCTGCCCTCAAGGTGAGTCCCAGCGTAAGGACTGTCCTACGCTGTGGTAGATAGTTCCAAAGGTCATCAGCCACTCCCTCTCATCCCTGGACACAAACGATGCTCCTCCCATCAGCAGGTGGAACCCGTTTCCCCTCCTCGTGGATCTGGCAGGCCATGTGACTTGCTTTGACCAATACAGTGGGCCCAAAGTGAGGCTATAACCCTTACAAGCTCAAGCCGTTCTCCCTCTTGGAGCCCAGCTGCATGGCACAGGAGGCCAGGGCCAGACTGCTGGGTGATGAGAGCCCAGGTGGGCAGAAGCCCCCCCTGGGGCATGAGTGGCCATCTCAGACATTCCAGCTGCAGCGGAGCTCCCAGCCGAGTGCGGCCACAAGGGTGACCTAAACTACACCAGATGGTGCAGAACTGCCCAGTTGAGGCCAGTCGGCCCATGAAATCACGAGGGAAAAAAAATCAATTATTTTAAGTCACTACATTTGCGGATGGTTTGTTACACAGCAACAGATAATTTAAAAACATGCAATATCAGACATGTATGCATGACTCTGAGGGAGCCCAGAGAAAGACCGTCTAAGAATACCTTAAAAGGTGTTTTACATTGGGCTCTCTGGAAACAGACTTCAAAATAGAGTCTGCTTTGAAGTGTACTGGGGTGGAGGGTGCTCTGGAGAGACACACCCATAAAGCAGCCAGGAAGCTAGGAATGGACCAGCAATACGCCAGCGACTGAGACCTCCGCCAACGCTATGAGGAGCTCTGAAGGCAGGAAGGAAATTCAGGGTTGTCCCAAACTGAGGCAAGGGGGCCAGAGCTGTGAATCCCTCCTCAGCCAGCATAGCTGGGGGCTGGCCCCAGGGGGGGCATCATGACCTTGGGCAAGGTCCCCGTGCGGCTGGGTGCCCGCAGCCTGCACTCCCAGTGGCTGAGGAGAGAGGCGCCGGCCCTGAAGAGTGACCTGGGAGGAGAACACAGTGTCCCCACAGGAGGTGATGCAGTGGCACTTGAGCTGAGACAAGAAAGGAAGGGGTGAGAGTTTCCAGGCAAAGGCACGGACACGGGAACTCACACGGCGAGCACAAAAACAAGAAGACACAGAAAAGGGTGTGGGAGAGGAAGCAACACTGAGCAGAGAAATGGAGACTTTACCTTGAGGCAACAGGGAGCCACGGAGGAGTTCTGAGCGGGGCAGAGACATGAGATCTCTCTCTGAAAAGATTCCTCTGACTGCAACGTGGAAGGTCGAGACTGGACGGGGAGAGAAATGAAGTAAACTCCCGGCTCCGGGCTGGTGTAGCCCGGCTGAGCCCTCCCTGAGCAGGGGGTTATGTTGCAGCTTAGCCCAAGTTACAGGTCTGGCAGTGGGAAGGGGAGGTGGGAGACCACCCTGGGGCAGGAGGCTGGGGAGAGTGCATGACACGTGGCATCTTGCGAGATAGAAGCCCCTGCGCCATCTTCCAGCCAGGAAACCTCCCGTCTTTAACAGGAAGGCAAAGGACACTCTGCTGCCTCAGAGGGCTCAGGGTGACCACAGGGCTTCCAGGTATTCAAGGGAATCAATCCCGATGTCCCTGTCTGAAATATCAGAGCCCCCAACCAAGTCCCAACCAACCAAAGCCTAGCTGACTTGCTATAGTGAGAATTCAATTTTCTTTGGAAATCTGCTACCCTTCTAATTCATTCCTGAGCCAAACCTCAGATTTTTTTCTGCCCTCCAGCTGTAGGAGAAAGTCTCTTTATCTGCTGGCAAGGAGGCCCTCTGGCTTTCACACTTCACCTGAAATTGGCGATTAATCACCCTCAGCCTTTCATTACCTTTGTCCAATGCATCAATTGCCCACAGCAACAATCACCTAATTCCACAGACTTCATAATTACTACCTCCTCCGAGCTTCTCAAATGTCTGAGAGATGACACCTGCCAGTGCAGCCCCTTCCACGAGTGCATCCATCCCGCAGGTCCACCCGACGTCAGCGCTGGGACAAGCTTTCACAACTGCACTGCCAGAGCATGTCAGGGGCCATCAGCACCTCCACCCACCACCAGGGGTGGGGTTCTCGTTACCCACTGGCCTGTGGGTGAGCCAGCTCCAAAATCCCATTTCAGTGTCTGTTTCCTAGGAATCACTTCTAGCACCAACTGTAGTAGTAGGTCAGGTGCCCTAGAAATAGATCAAAGACGGAGATCTCCATGCAGCGGACTCACTGGAGAGTGATCAGCAACAGAGTAGCACCAGCAACAGAGGGAGGGAAGCAGACCCGGGCAGAGGGAGAAGTTGAACTCGGATGCATGGCAACAGGGGCCTCAGGCAATCTGGTTCAAAGCTCTAGAGCAGGTATGGCCTTTTAGAGATGTCCCAGGCCGGGCAAAGTGGCTCACGCCTGTAATCCTGGCACTCTGGGAGGCCAAGGCAGGTGGATCGTTTGAGCTCAGGAGTTCAAGACTAGCCTGAGCAAGAGTGAGACCCCGTCTCTACTAAAAGTAGAAAGAAATTAGCTGGACAACTAAAAATATATAGAGAAAATTAGCTGGGCATGGTGGCGCATGCCTGTAGTCCGAGTTACTTGGGATACTGAAGTAGGAGGATCGCTTGAGCCCAGGAGTTTGAGGTTGCTGTGAGCTAGCCTGATGCCACAACACTCTAGCCTGGGCAACAGAGTAAGACTCTCTTGAAAAAAAAAAAAAGAGAGAGAGATGGCCCAAAAATGAGGCAAGAATAATCAGTTAGTCATTGAATTCAAACTGTCTCCAAGGAGTCGGGGGATAAGCCTTGTGACAGAAAGTTCCATTTGGCCAAAGGCAACTCAGTTGAATTGTTGTTGGCCACTGAGTACCTCAGTGAGTCCCCTTGGGGGAAACCTGGTGGCTATACCATGGTATCCGTCACACCCAGTATTAGACAACTAAAGATGGAGAGTGATGGTCAGTATTATCGCTGAGGTCACGTAAGTGTCCACTGGATTTGACCACCAGGAAGTTACTGGAGACTGGGAAGCGATTTGTCCAGGAGAGCAGTAAGGGAGAAGCCCGTGCAGGGGTAAAGTGTGAGCAGAAGGTGGGGAGGGAAGGTGACTCTTTCAACCTTTCTAGGCCCCACTAATGGCTGGCTTCCTATAGGGTCCTAATGCCTGGGACAAGTTGTCCCTTAGAAATGGACAGCTTTGAGTGTCGCTTGCATTAGCTCCATGCAAACGTGTAGGACACATGTCACACACAGGCACACATTGAGCTTTCCCAAGGCAAAGGTTGCAGCCAGAGGCTTGTGAGCAGGTCTCTATACTAGTTAGCCAAAAACTGACCTCTGCAGCTGAAGACTTCTGCACACTCCCTCTCCCTGTGCACCTAGACGGTCAAGGTGCCCCAGCTGGAGTCTCAGCTTTGTCTTCAAGTCTGATCAGAAACCTGGCAGCAACCCAAAGCAAGGAGAGCCCACGACACTAACAACATCATCAACAACAACAGTTAACATTTACTGAGTACTAGCTTTGTTCCAGGCACCTACTAAGCACTTTACAAACATTAGTTCATTTCATCCTCCCAAAACCCTGTGAGGTAGGTGCTTCTATTATCTCATTTTATAGATGAAGGAGCAGAGGCTCCAAGAAGGTAGACAACGTGGCCCCAGTGTGCACAACTGGTTGGTGGCAGAACTGAGGTTGACATTCCAGTAAGATTGATGACAGAGACAAGTGGTACGTTGAGATGGGCAGGTTCATTCATTCGTTCAGCAAATATTATGGAGAGCCTACTATGGGCCAAACTGCTCCAGGCACTTGGGAAACATCAGGGAGCTATACACACAGAGATTCCCTTTCCTCATGGGCTCCTTTCTAGCAGGAGAGACAGACAATAAACTCATTTGTGCAGGTGAAAAGGCATCGTGGGTGCTGCGGTGTGGCACCATTTCTCCACTTCTGAAGTGAGGCACTCACTCCCAGCAGCTGGGAGTGCAGGTGGCTAATGGCATCAGCTGCATCCTTCTCCGGAACTGCCCTCAGAGAAGACAGCCACCTCACCTGCGGGCCCGCCCCTTCCCCTGGCAGCCCACACCCAGTGTCTGGCAGCTGAGGGTTGTAAAGGCCCCAGCCCCTCACCCTAAGGCAGAGCAACTCCAGTTGAGAAAGTCACAGTCGCAGAGCAACTCCGAAAGTCTCACACTCGTAGCTCCCTGTGGAGCCAGTCGAGGCCCCTGCCGTGACCTCCTCACAGTCCTACTCTTCCCCCTGCCTGAATCTGCTCCGTCCACAGCAAGGGGTCTTGATGGGACAGGCTTCCCCAGTTAGCTTCCTGCAAGCCAAAGTCTCCATCAGAGTCCATTTCTCAACGCACCTAGGCTGTTGACAGAAGGCGCAAGATCTGTGGGAAAAGAGAAAAAAAAGAAAATTGTGAAGGAGGGGGATTGGGGCGGCGGGGGCCAAGGGGCAGCAGGTTGCAGGGTTCGGCAGAGTATTGCAGGTGATCCACTCAGAAGTCACCTGGGAACACACTTGACAAGGAGTGAGACCTGGCGGGGGGGGTGTTCTAGGCACGGCACGGCAAGGGGCCAGTGCGGCTGCAGAGGGTGAAGAGAGAAGATCACACAGGGACTCAAAGCCACTGTAGACCTCAGCTTTTTCCCCAAAAGGAGCAGAGAAGGGCATGATCTGGCTGCAGTGTAGAGGGGAGGGGCAGGAGCAGAGACACCACTGCAGTGAGCCAGGTGATGGTGTCTTGCAGGGTCCACCAGGTTGGTGGCAGTGGGGGTGGTGAGAAGTGATTGGATCAGGAATGTGTTTTTAAAATACAGCCAGCATTCTCCCTCATAAGGAATTCTAAAAAAAAATAATAATAATAATAAAATACAGCCAGCATAAGGTGCTGATGGACCCGGACGTGGGAGGTGAGAAAAAGAGAGAAGGCACGAATGACTCCAAGGTGCTTTGTCCTGCACGATGGAAGTAAGGGCTTGCCAAGAGCTGGGAGGGGGGAAGGAGGTCTGGGGAGGCCAGGAGCTCTGCTTTGCAGCGCCGAGTTTGAGATTTGCAGAATAGCATCCACAGGGCTGATAACAGTCCAAAGAGATGGCACTGAGGGCTCAGTGGTACAGGGGCCTAACTCTATCATCCCGTCACCTGACATCGCAAGACCCCCCAGGCTACTCTGGCAGCCTAATCTGTGAGCTCTAGGCAGTGAAGAAGGGTCCACCTATGTGCATGTTTGGTGTGTTTGGCAGTGAGAGTAGGGAGTCTGTGCAAGTAGAACATGTCCCTATGCATAGAAGTGTTGAATTTGTGTGCACTTGTGTGTGTGTGTGTGTGTCTGTGTGTGTGTGTGTGTGTGTGTGTGTGTAGTGCAGATCCAAGGGTTGAGCACACCTGCAGTGTGCGAGTGTGTATGACAGTGACGCGGTGGCCCTGGCAGCTGGGCACACTCCACTGCAAGGGAAGAAAGGATGCCAAACGGAGGCCTGAATGCTTAGTAGACTCCCGTGGTTGTGGAATTTGCAGAATGAACAAATCGCTGCTAACCTGGATGGAACTGGAGCCCATTCTCCTAAGTGAAGTATCACAAGAACGGAAAAGCAAACACCACATGTACTCACCATTAAATTGGAACTAATCGAACAACACTTATGTGCACATATGGAAATAAAACTCATTGGAAATCAAGCAGGTGGGAGGGGGAGGAGGGGATGAGTAAATTCACACCTAATGGGTACCATGCACACTATCTGGGTGATGGGCACACTTATAACTTTGAATTAAACTGTACAAAAGCAATTTATGTAAGCAAACATTTGTACCTCTGTAATGCTCTGAAATAAAATAAAATAGTAAAAAAAAAAAAATAGCTGCTATCAGTGTTCAGAGCAGGGCACTTGAGTCACCTGGGCGGTGGGGGCAGCGTGCTCCCTGAGCCACACAGGTCTGCTCAAAGCCCTAAGGAACAGTTCCAGGACCTGGAGGTCCCTGCTGTTCCCCAACTCCACAGCCCCCCTCACCCCACCCCAGCCCCCCACCCCCCACCCCACCCCCACCCCCGTTGCTCCCCGGGGCTGCTTTCTGATTGGGCTGGGAAAACTGCCGACACAGCTCCGGGAGGGAGGAGAGTTAACTCTCCATTTGCCATTAAACATAATCAGGGGGAAATCTGTGTGCAGCCCGCTGCTTTGGCCGATAAGTGATTCCCCAGAACAACAGATAAAAGCCTGGCACTAAAGTGCGGCCAGAAACGATGTGTAATTGGGACGAAAGAATCCTTAAATCTGCAGGCTGCTTTTAACTTGGGAGGCTTAGATTACAATTAATAGTTCCCTTGAAGAAGGCGGTGGGGGGTAGGGGCCAGATAGAGGAATTCCAGGGCCTTGAGCCCAAACCCCTGGGCCCCATTCTCAACACTTCAGTGTTGGGGGGGGGTGCCGAGTAGTAAGGAGGGAGGAGAAAGCTGAGGGTGGGAGGGGATCCCTTCCAGGGTCTTGGGCTCCCTGATAGGTTGTAGCCTTTACCAGTTCCAAACCCACCAGTTTCCAAATAAGTATATCCGTACTCCTGGACTTTTGCCCAGTGCCCCCACCACCACCACGGCATCCTTGGGATGTCACCAACAGTCAAAAAACATCACCCCCATTTTGAAGACTGGGAAACTAAGGAGCTACACCTGCCCTGGGGCCCTGACGTGTAGTGAGTCCACCTGCAGTTCCCAGACCAGGAGGGAGGGCGCTGAGAGCTCGTCCCTCTTTATGATTCGCTGCGGGAACAGTGACCCAGAGACTGGGCAGTGTCTGCCCAACATCACTCAAGGCAACAGTGTGGAGCTAGCGCTAGAACCCAGGCCTCCTGACTCCAGTGGGCGTTCTCCCCTCTGCACCCCTGGCCAATGGGCCTGGAATTCTCTGAGCAGAGCACAGTTCTCCAGCACCAGCCACACAGCCCCTTCTTTCCCCCACCTGTTCCCAGAGGCAGGGATGGAGACCAGACTATGTCTGCCTGGGGGAGCGTTTGCAGCCCTCCCTCTGCCCTGAGCCTGGACCTGCCCCCTCCATCTTTGCTTGGTCCAGCCTGGGCAGCCCCCTCTCCCCCAGCATACAGACTTGCCAGCTCACTCTCTCTACCTCACCACGTGGGCCACAGTGCCCAAGACTTCTTTCTGCTCCAGGGTCATATCTAGGCTCTTCCTCTGGGGTCCTTCCCTAAGGGCAAAGCTGTCGGCAGCAGGGCTGGGGACAGGTTCAGGTGGGTGGTAGCTAGGCACAAACCTGAATCGTGAAGCTGGCTGGCTCTCCTCCAAGAATGAGGGTTCCAGCCCTCAGAGGACACCCACAGACAGTCACAGGGAGCCCTGAGAGCTCCCTCGCCACTC